GCTATGGAAACACACAACTCAGGGCAGGCTGAAAAATCTGTCTGAAACAGCATGGTTACATACTCAGGCACTTAACGTGTACTAAGTTTTAGGTTGTTGTAGCTACACTGCCAAGAGTACGTGAGCCATGTAGTTTAAAGCTAGGGTGAGTAAGTCAACACCCGTGATTCCCAAACGGTGTGCCTCAAGATCCCCGTGTGCAGAAGCAAATGCTCTTCTCCCCAACCTAGCACCCTGCACCTATCCCAGTTACTCCAGCAGCACCTGCAGCTACTCTTCTGAGGAGTGCTGCCACTGCTGCTACCTTCTCCCACCCTTCCCTGCCCCCAGGCAGCCTTGTACCAGCCCTAGGTTAACTACCCATCCCTAACTGGGTGGGACAGTCCTGCAATGAGAACCTCAAGTCCCAGTTCCAGGCCTCATGACTACAGGACAGCATTTGTCCTGGATTTGCAGCACCTGCAGGGATTGGGAAATAGCTGGTTTCCCTTTGCAGGCTGGCAGCAGGGTGCTAAGTTCATGTGTGCGCCTGCACAAATGCACGTGGCTGGGAGATACAGCCAAGCAGCATGGAGAGCAGCTCCCTGCAGGTAAGTCAATGGTGAGGGTGGTACAGATCAATGCCCCCATGGGTGAGGGAGCGAGCAGGGCAGGGGCTGGGCATGCTGCCCAGCCAAGGTGGTGCATGGGGCCAGGACAAGGAGCAGGACAGAACCGTAGGAGGCTCCTCCAGGGAGCGGGGGGAATGCGGAGCATATGCCCCACCAGCTTTGTGCACGGGGCAGAGGCAGGTGTGAGCTGCATACTACCGTCTCAGGGGTCCCCACCCTGCTGCAGGGGGGCTTGTGCTGGCCGTGCCACCATGGTAAGGCGCCCCCTGCCCACCTGGCAGCAGCAAGGGCAGGGGTGGTAGCAGCATGGAGTTGTGCCCCCTGCTGCTGCTGGGTGGGAAGGGGTCAAGCAGCCAGCATCGGGCTCCCAGGGGAAAGGCAGCAGAGCAGGATGCCCCGAGCCCACAGCAGGCAGCCTGCATCCGCTCTGCTCCTTTCAGCTAGCCATGGTGGTGGCAGCAGCAGGACAGGGGAGAGGAGGACATGTGTCCTGTCTTCCCCTTTTGAAAAGGTGATCGCTCTAGCCAGCCGCCTGCCCGCCCCCCTCCATTGCTCCCAGCAAAAAGGTCTGTTGGGTGCGGGCGAGTAGGTATACACAGAGCAGCAGTTTGCAACCTGGCTCATCCCTTTCACTCCTCCCACGTTCTCAGGGTCAAGTGGACCTGCAAGGGTGGTCACTGGCATGCAAGACCCTATAGGGGCAGCCTAGGGACAGCCTCACCAGGATGGCCTGCCCTTGCCCTGAGGTACAGGCCAGAGGTTGGGAGGGAGCAAACAGTGGAAAGCGCAGGGCTCAGCCAGGTGAACATCTGCCCCCACTGCTTAAGTGGCACAAGCTAAATTAATGATTCTCAACTTTTTTAGCTACAAGCTCCCCCCACACACATACTCTCTTTCGGAGTTCAGATCTCAGTGATTTTCAACTGGGGTGCCATGAAATTCAGAAAAGTTACAGAGTTACTTGGAGGCTAAAAAGATTGAAGCACTGGAATAGAAATGTATCTTTGCTTAAAGAAAGATATATTTGGTGTCATTTGTTAACAGTACATTTAACACTGGTATAATTTCTTCCTGAATTCTTTGTTTTGAATAAGAGATATATAAATATATGTACATGCACACACCCATTTGGTGTGCCACCAATTTTAATCCATTAAAAAAGGCATCCCAAGTATCAAAAATTGAGGAAACACTAGTCTACATGTGGTATGAACTGCACCTTTGATACCAGGATAGACCTACCTTTCTTAGAATAAAGCTGTATTATTTGTCTTTCATCTTAAAGCTTTAAGGTTAATTGGCTTACCTTTCTTCTCATTCCCAGGACTTGTACTGAATCTTAGAGCTTTCAGCATTCTACAGAATTAGACCCTTGCTGCATTTCCTCATCTGTAAAATAGGGATAACAACACGTGACCAACCTTATAAACTGTACTACATTTGCCAGCATCATCACTTTGGCAAATCCATCTACTCAATAAAGTATTTACTCCTGAGCTGGGAACCTAACCTCTCCGGAAACTACTGGACCCTCTAGTTTCCCTAAACCTGCCTATGGCTCTCCAAAAACCCTTCCTCCCTTACATGCCTTCTGAAGAATTCAAGCAGTAAGATCCCTGCCTCCACGGGAAGCCCTTTGAGGCAAATCTGGTGTCGATCCAGCTGCTTTCACCAGCTCAAAATCAAACAAACTTTTCAAAAGTGATGTTTATGGTTTTTCTGTGTGGTTGACCTAGTGGGATAGGGGGAATTAAACTTAAAATGGATTAAAACATTCTTCTCAGTCACAGATAATTAATCTGTGAAATTCACTACCAGCCAATATTACCAAGGGAAATAGCTTGGTAAGATTTTTTTGTTGTTGTTGTAGGAGGGGGAGGGGTGCAGAAAGGAAATGGATTTGACATTTATATGACTACATTCTGTAGTTACATTAGCTAGGCTAAAATTACAAGTGTGATCACTATTCATGCTGAAGGCTGTAAACTGATCTTCAGCTGTGGTCTAAGGGGGAAACCAATTTCATAGTTGGTAGGGTCAGAAGGGACCTGAGCAGATCATCAAGTCCAACCCCTTGCCATGGCAGGAAAGAGTACTGGGGTCACACGACCCCGGCAAGGTGTTCATCCAGCCTCCTCTTAAAGACCCCCAGGGTAGGACCCAGCACCACTTCGCTTGGAAGTTGGTTCCAGATCCTAGCCACCCTGACAGTGAAGTAGCGCCTCCTAATGTCTAGCCTGAATCTACCCTCGGCCAGCTTGTGACCGTTATTTCTAGTCACTCCTGGTAGTACTCGGGGGAACAGGGACTCCCCCAATGCCTGCTGGTCCCCTCTGACTAGTTTGTAACAGGCCACTAGATCCCCGCTCAGCCTTCTCTTGTGGAGGCTGAACAGGTTCAGGTCCCATAGCCTCCCCTCGTAGGGCCTGCCCTGCTGCCCCCCGATCATGCAAGTGGCCCTCCTCTGGACCCTCTCGATGCTGGCCACATCCCTCCTGAAGTGTGGTGCCCAGACCTGGACGCAGTACTCCAACTGTGGCCTGACCAGTGCTTCATAGAGGGGGAGGATCACCTCCTTGGACCTGCTTGAGATGCATCTGTGGATGCATGACAAGGTGTGGTTGGCCTTCCTGACCGCGTCCCCACACTGTCAGCCCATGTTCATTTTGGCATCAATAATGATTCCAAGATCCTTTTCTGCCTCTGCACTGACAAGAAGGGAGTTCCCCAGCCTGTAGGTATGCTGCTGGTTCTTCCTCCCCAGGTGCAGCACCTTGCACTTGTCAGTGTTGAAACCCATCCTGTTCTCATCTGCCCACCCCTGTAACCTGTCTAGGTCCGATTGCAGCCTATTCCTCCCTTCTAGTGTGCCCACATACTCATTTCTTCCATACTCAATTAGTTGTACTGAAGGACTTCACCCTGGTTCTCTGAAAACATCAGACCCTATAACATTTTAATAAGCCTAAGCAAACTGATCCGTTCCTTCTGGGGCTCCATGCGTGGTTAGTAAGGTGACCAAAATTTTAAAATAAAAGAAAGAGAGACTTTCTGGCAATTTTTAGGGCCAGGAAATACTCAGATAGAAGAAAAACGGGCACTCAAAAATAATATGGGATGATATCATCAGACTCTAACTTGCCCCAACACAGACGAGTTTCTCAACCAAGGGAATATTTTCTAATGCAGTCATTCACAACACGATGTTATTCATGAAACAAGTGTTAATTTCCCTCTGAGCAAAAGAAAAGCTGGGAAAGCGTGGACACTGACCCGGCTTTTCTCCTTCCACTGGACTCTTCCTAATGGGCAAAGGACAAACTTTGCTCAGTGCAGCCATGCCTCCTGAACATGTATTTTGTAGTTTTTAAGTTCAGCACACTGGGGGAACAGGAACAGGACACTGAGAACAGACCTGCAATTTCCGTGGCCCTTGGGGCAGGGTACACCCTGCCGCAGCCCAGGGGAAGCTGGTCCCCGGGAGCCCCAGGCTTTGTGCTGCACTCAACAGGGCTCCTGCCTGGTTCAGGGATCATTTTAAAAGGATGGGCCTGACCCTAGACTCTAGGGGGAAGGCCCCTAGCACTAGTGTGAAGCACTGGTAATGAGAAAAGCTGCTGCACTGCCTTAAGCTACCATTGTCAGGTCTTAAATAGTAAATGATCATATTGGAAGCTCAACATTATCTCATTTGCTGAAAAAATATCCTACACTGGGAAATATGCAAATAAGTCTTCTTCTTATTGACTTTACATTGTTCAGTATAACCCACCAGTGAGTGAGAACTGGGTTGTCAGTTTTGAAGCCCCTCTTCATTTTGAGGGAAGAAATCGTAAGAAAGTGCTAACTACAAACACAGAAGTCAGTGAAGACTCCCTGAGAGTGACTTGGGTTTTGCATATGTAGCATCAATGAGCTGCCTCAAAAAAATCATGCAAAAACTCAAAAATCATCCAAAATAATCCGTGTGCAAAAATGACGTTTATTTCCTACCTATGGGGACTTACCATCTTGTACCATCTACATTTTTCCCAGAACCTAACAAAGGGACTTTGATCTGAAAGCTTGCAGAAAAGGACAATTTTCTTGCCATTTTCCAGTTGGTCTAATAAAAGGTATCATTTTGGAACCAAGAGTTCTAGTTGTTTGTGTGTCCTACATTTTTAACACTTTTACTATTATTGATTGTACCTCGTACAAGGGTTGAAATTATCGTGCAACTATGATAACCTGGCAACACAGCCCTAAGTGGAGACCAGACGGGAGCCCCAGGGCACCATCCCAAGTCGGGACACAACCCGCCTGCAGCCCCATCCCCCGGGAGAGCCACCAGAGATGGCGTGGCTCCAAAGCTAGGTAGAACAACCGCGCATGCGCGGGCCGTCCAGCCCCTCAGGCGGAGCAGAGGTGCTAACTGGGCCACGCAATGGGGGCGGGGCGCCCGTTCTAACTCGCTTTCATGGTTCCCATAGCAACCGGGACGTTGGCGGCCTAGACGCTCCCGGTCAGACATGGCACTGCCGGAGCCAGTCCGGAGGCGGCTCAGCAACTTCAGCCGGACTGTATTCAGCGACAGCAACCGCACCGGCCCGGAGTACCCCGACGGCGGCTGTAGCCCGGGTAAGGCCTGGCTCCAGTGCCAGCGGCAAAGATGGCGGCGGTGGCGGCACTCTCGTGGGTCGCTGCCAGGAATGAAGATGGCGGCCCAGGTGCCTCCTCTACGCTCATTGAACCAACGGCGCAGCGCTTCCTACACTCATTCACTCACTCGCAGGCGGAGGGGAGCCTCCCTCCCAGCCTGCGAGCGAGCAGTCCCCGCGGCTGCTCAATGCCTGAGACGGCCAACAGCGGCGCCACCACATAAGGGGGCGGGGCGCTGAAGGCGGGGCGGGAACGGGTTAGCCCGACAGAAGGGCCCCGCCTCCACCCGCTAGGCACGGTGAGCGCATGCGCAGTGGTCCCGGCTGAGCTGCACTGCCTTTTCCTGTCGGCGGGGCAGGCTTTTTTTCTGCTTAATGAGTTAGATATCCAGGTTGTAGCAACATGAGGCAAAAGGAATCAGAACTCGTGGTAGAGGTGACATCTGTTGTTAGACCAACTAGATTTTTGCAAAAAAGAAAAAAAGTCTTTAATTGCAATTAAAGATAGCTTGCAAGTGAGGGATCCTTTGACCCTAGCTGACTTCCTACCAGTGGGGCAGGGGGCTGGACTCGATCAGCCCTAATGTCTATGAAATCTATGAAGCCTTTTTTTTCCCCCAGGGATCCTTTGACCCTAGCTGACTTCCTACCAGTGGGGCAGGGGGCTGGACTCGATCAGCCCTAATGTCTATGAAATCTATGAAGCCTTTTTTTTCCCCCAAAAAAATCTAGTTGGTTTAATAAAAGATATCACCCCTACCACAAATTCTGAATTGGATAGAGGTACACATGGTTGGGTGTGTGTAAGTATTTACACACATGCAAACAGGCATACACACAGGAGTATATTCACACCCCTAACTTTCCTGAACTCAAGCTCTCTTCATCAGTGGCAGTGAAAGGTCTAGGCCAGCGGTTCCCAATCTGTAGTACACGTACCACCAGTGCTACACAGACACTCTGGCAATGGTACGCATTAACAGATTTATTATTATTATATATGACAAAAATTTGCTGGTGATACTTAAGGTCAAACTGAAAAATTTGCTGGTGGTACTTAAGGTTGTATTGTTTTAAATTGGTGGTGCACAATTTGTCAGAGTTTGGGAACTGCTGGTCTAGGCTCCTCTTCGCAGCATCTGCTAAAGCGGGGTGGACTTCAAGAAAGCTTGTTCTCTCTCTGTATAGATATACACACACATATAGAATCATAGTTACTTAGTCTGTAAGGTACATACCTACCCTGCCTTACGCCTGTCTTTTTAATTTTTTTTTAATACCAAAACAGCCTGGCTCCAGGGCTTCCAGGACTGTAGAAAAAGCACCAGAGGTAACTGAACTAGTAGTATGGGCTCAGGTCCTTCAGTAAACAGCACCGCTCCATTTCTGAACCCCCTGTACCTCTGCTGTTCCTGCAATTTGGGGGTTTTCAGGTGCTAAAATAACACAGGGAGTCACGGGCACTGGATTTACCCATTTCAGTGCTTAAATTCTCTCAGTCCCCTCTTTATAATAGCAAGCAGCATACTTTATAAAGCCTGGTTCGATACCTTCCGCTTCTCCACCACCTTTAGTATCAAATAAAGTCCACTGGTCAGGCCACAGCTGGAGTACTGCGTCCAGTTCTGAGAGCCGCACTTTAAGAGGGATGTGGACAGCATCGAGAGGGTCCAGAGGAGGGCCACTCGCATGATCAAGGGACAGCGGGGCAGGTCCTGAGGAAAGGTTACGGGACTTGAACCTGTTCAGCCTCCAGAAGAGAAGGCTGAGGGGGGATCTTGTAGCCTGCTATAAACTAGTCAGGGGGGATCAACAGGCACTGGGGGAGTCCCTGTTCCCCCGAGCGCCGCCAGGAGTGACCAGGAATAACGGTCACAAGCTGGCGGAGGGAAGTTGGACATCAGGAGGCGCTACTTCACGGTCAGGGCGGCTAGGGTCTGGAACCAGCTTCCAAGTGAGGTGGTGCAGGCTCCCACCCTGGGGGTTTTTAAGAGGAGGTTAGATGACCATCTTGCTGGGGTCGTTTGACCCCCAGTACTCTTTCTTGCCATGGCAGGGGGTCGGACTAGATGATCTGCCCAGGTCCCTTCCGACCCTAGAAACTATGAAACTATGAAATAGGATTTTTTTTTACATAAAAAATGACAAATGAAATACTTTGCTGTTTGTAATACAAGGAATAAGATAGACAAATACACCCAGTATCTTACTCCAGTGTGTCCTATTGTGCCCTACAGTAAGCAGTAATTAAATTAGTTCAAGAGTGGGGGGAAGAACTTGACATTTTTGGCTACTTTTGTCAACTATTTACCTGAAACTCAATCTTAAATCCTAATCCAAGTATTAGGATTTGGCCTAATATTGAAATATTAGGACAGGTATTTCAGAAATGTACCCATTGGAATAATACTTGGAACAACCCAGTGTAGCATAGCATCACAAGATGGTCACACAGAAAATTAAAAATCTTGGCCTCTGTCATTAATCAAAACCATTACCATTATCCATAAGTAACTTGCAACAGTTTAAAATGCCTCCTTGTAATTAGATATTACTTATCCATCGAAGGGTAGGCTGCCGATATCAACTGATACGTTGTTCCAGTTCTGAACGGCTCTCCAGAAGCAGTTCCTTTTCTAATATCTGGAAATGAACTGTCCTGCATTCATCAGGACAGGTTGCAACTAAGAAAGCATATTATAGCTAAGTAATGAAAAATTTTTGGAGGTCTGTAGGTCATCTCCCATTCCTCCTAGTTGGAATAGTTTTGATACATAAAAATGTTGGATTATTAATCATGTCAGTCACCTTGTACCTTCTGTTTTTAGTGTAGACAGTCCCTCCTCTTTACACTATTACCTTAAAGCCTTGTCCCAGTTCCTTTACTATATTCTCCTGCCCTTCCACCTAGCTAATTAATTATCATGAATACTTCAGCATCTGACAAAAAGATTTCTGGGCTATGTCTGAGAATTGAAGGTACCATGACTGCATGAGGCTGAACTGGACACAATGATGATGCTTTCCAAGGTAGAGCAAGGACAGGTAGGAGACTGGAAGTCAAAGAGAAACTAGCCAATACTTGAAGATGGGTTCAATGATATAGTGTTGTTACATATCAGGTCACAAGTCTTAAAGAAAAAAAAAGATACAGAACTTTTGGGTTGCACATGCGGAAACAAGAGATGATTAACAGGAAATGGAAATGAGATCATAAGAATTTGGCACCTGCCCACAAATGGTAGCAAGTGCCAGTTCTTCTGAGCTGCTCTTTGGGACATAAGAGAAACAGATCATTAGTAATTCATTCAGGTATTTATTGATATCATACTAAATATGAGGTAATGCAAATAAGCTTGTCTAATTAAAGGCAAAACTGTTCTCTTGTGTTCTTTTTAAAATATAGAACTTTTTTTTAATACCAAGTCTAATCTTTTGAACCTGTGGATGAATTTGAACTGTTGTGGAACTCTACTATCTGCATCTTATCACGGGGCTCAAGAGTTCTGGTTTTTCAGGTTTTATCAGCTAACTTCCTCCTCACTACAGTGTTTGGTTTGCAATTCCATTTTGTTTGATGGACGTTCCAGTTAGGTAGTTTGTTTAAAAACAGCCTCCCACCACCTCCTTCCCCCAAAACCAGCTATGCACAAATTATAATTTGATTGACATTGCTAAAGGCCAGTGATACATCATGAGGGCGGATTGAGGTCATGACAGAGCTGGTAGCTGGTTTGGTTGGTAGCTGTTTTTAAAAAGTAGGGGCTACTGCCTGTCAGATTCAAGAAACATTAATGGCATTGTGAGCAAACAGTACAAGTTTCCCTACCAACATGCAGGGATAGAGATCCTGGCCTCTAGGGATCAGTAATGAATATGAGCATAATCTAATTTTGTGCTTAGCTAATTGTGAGTTGTTTTGCTGAACTGTCAACAGAAGGAATCGCTTGTAGTTCTTGCAGCATATCTATCCAGTAAGACTTGGGCTGAGCCCATCAGCTGACTGCTGAAGAGTTACTAGATGATGCTTCTCAGTCCTCTTTCATTAGGCATCAGAATTATACTATCTACTGACTAGTGAAAAGCTGCAATTTATGATAGATGTTGTAGAATGCTATAGGCCAGGAGTATCAAACTTATCTGGCCCCACAGGCCAGATGAGTGGCACAGGGTGAGATCAGCTCCACAGACTGGCCCAGCTGGATCCAGTGTGTGGGGCATGCTTCATGTGGTGTGTGGGTCCAGTCCAAGTTCTGGGCAGCACTGCACCCTGGATGATAGGGCTCTGCAGGCATCTTTGACACCCTGTTATAGGCAATGATTTAGCATAAGGGTGTCAAATTTATTTGGCCCTACAGTTTTAGGCAAACCTTGGACAGTTTAACACTTGATACTGATTTGTCCAAGTTTGAAATTCAGTTATTAACATGTTGGTTGAAAGTTACTCTTTTTGAGGTAGTGGTGACTTTCTCCACTGTGTTTGGAAAGAGAATGTCTGACAAACAGGATGATGAGAGCTCCCTTTTCTCTCTCCAGATAACGAAATAGTTTCAAGTTTGCCGTTGCAGATGTCCCTCTATTTCAACCTCTACTTTTTCCCATTCTGGTGGGTGAGCAGTGTTGTCATGCTTCAGCTGAAGGTGAGTCCTTAGATAGAATGAATGTTGAAGGGTGCAATTTTCTTTTGTCAGTCTTATTTCCTTGTCCCATCTTAAAGAATTACCTTTTCCAGTCAATAATTCCAATCCAGACGTGGAAAGTTAATAGATTAAAGGATCTCAAGCAGGAGTGTATAAGTACTGGGGTATGAGGAGGACTATGTCTTGACAGAGTTAATAGCAAGTTTGATAGAGAGCTGACTGAACAGCAGGGGCTACTGCCTGTCAGATGCCAGAAACATTGACAGTGTTGCACAGATCTCATACACAATATACTGGCTGCTGTAGGAGTCGTGTAAACTAGGGATAGTTCTGTTCTCACAAAATTCTTATTCTTTTTCCCTCTCTCTAGTACTCAGTCTTGCCAGATTACTACAAGTTCATCCTGGTCACAATAATCATCCTTGCCTCTCTAATTGAGGCCATCCGACTGTATCTGGGATACATAGGCAATCTGCAAGAGAAGGTAGGTCCCCATCATCTCCCAGAGCAGTTGATTCAGGATTGCATTAACTGCTAAAAAGAAAACTTACCTGTTAGATTTCAATGTAGGTTCAATACCCCAGGCAAAAATGCTTCCAGTTGAATTAAAAGTTGACTGCATTTGTTCTAGCTGTGCTCTATGTTCCTTTCAATTCCTTAAACCACCCCCTCATTTTGTTCGTCCTTCTGAGGACCCTTCTCTCTGTCTCCCCTCTCTTCTCAAAACCTCTTCTACATGAAACTCCACATGACTAAAACCTCTCTCTCCATCTGCATACAAGTTTCTAAAAGCCATTAACATTGCAGTCATGACAGGGTGGGTTTGCATTCAGAATTATGGAGGTACTCTCTAGAGCACAGCATGATTCCTTTGGAACTGGCTAGGTCATGATTCCAACTAGCATACTGCCACTATACTGTGGTACAGGTCTCTCTCTTTCCACTTAGTGTTATTTTTGTTCCTGCTTACTCCTTTATACTTTTAATTCCCTTCTTACCTCTCCTCAGAATACTGGAAGATCATCCTGACTGTTCCAGGTCTTAACATTTTCTTAATTACATTGATAAAATGAAATGGCTGAGAATAATGCTGTTCACACCAGCATCACACTGTTCCAGAACACCTCAATAAAGTGTCCAGCAGAGGTGTAACTAAATTTTTGTCTCCCTGCCCAGGAGGGGAAAGAGGTGTCCAACAATCCAGAGTCTTACCTTCCCGCACACAAAGCAGTGATGCTACTGCTGTCACAAGGTTCCCCACTCATAAGCTGTTGCTGCCACTGCATGGGAACCGCCTCTAAAATCAGTTATTGAGGGCTGGTGCCTCTCAGAGATCAGATCTCTGCCTTCTCACCACCCTTAGTTATGCTACTGGTGTCCAGCAACTGAGCTGGCTTAACTGCTGGTGAAGCCATTTTATACACAGAAGGAGGTCACAAATTCCTTCACCTTCCTGTTTATGTCCACTTTTTTCACATCATTGTGGGACAAAAATGGCATACTTGGTTGGAAGTCTAGTAACAGAGTGAAAAGACCAGCAATCACATGTCACTTGGTTTCTTCTGTTACCAGACTGTTTTGAAACCCATAGATGCATCAGCGACTAGGACTTCCCTGCAGAGCCAGCTATATCAGTGAAAAGAAAACCTGAGAAGCCCCTGATCTTGTTCTAAACACTCCCTGCAACAAGAATCCTTGTGCCACTATACTGAAACATCAGTGCATCATTACAACCTTGGTTATCTGTGTTAGTAGAGCTGGTCAGAAATGGGATTCCACCCTACTTGTGATTTGTCAACAAAAAAACCTGAAAACCTGAAAACCAAAAAATTTTCTGACACTAAAATGATGCTATGCTGCTTCATATTAATTGCAGTTCCAGTATCTTATGCTCCCATTTTTCTCCATAAGCTGGGCTCACGGGTCAGACTACCTGACACATGATATATTTTAGTATCATGTGTATTAAAGTCATGGCCACAAGTGTACTATGGGAGAGGAGTCCACACAGTAGAGAATGCCAACAGAACAATCAGACTACAATGTACCACCATACTGTAATGCCATATTCAAAGCAAAAATGTGGTGTTTCAGGCATTCTAGTTCTTGCCAAACAAAATTTTTCCACAAAAAGGCACTTCCTCAGAAAGTTTGTAGAATCTAAAACCCATTTTTCTATGGAAAAACAGTTTAGCTAGAATATTTTCAAACAGCCCCATTTCTTAGTGATCCCACAGCATATGTAGGCTTTAGGGAGATGAAAAATTAACTTTATAGCTAAAGATTTAGAAAAGTCCTTTTTAATAGTATAACACAATGCTTGAATTATAAAAGCTGGCAGCTTTTATAATTATTAACATTTCCTGTTATGTTTATCTGTTGTAGGTCCCTGAGCTGGCTGGTTTCTGGCTCTTGAGTCTTCTCCTTCAGTTTCCCCTAATTCTCTTCTTGCTCTTTAATGAGGGTCTGAAGATCCAGCCACTGGAGCGTGCAGTCCACATCATCTTTGCCTTCTTCCTCACCTTTCAGGTCATTGCAGCTTTTCTTGCCTTGAAAAGAATGGTGAACCAATTGGCAACTCGCTTTCACCTTCATGAATTTGACCAGCTGGACAGACATTCTGCACCTGATTATCCAGCCTGGGAGAAGAAGAGAGTACAGGCTCCCCGGGTGGCTGGATCACACTTGGAAGCAGCTCGTCCAACAACCATTGGCTGGGGTTCTGCACTTAAGGCTTGACAAGCTACCAGGGTAGAGTCTGGGAATGAGTGTCCCTTGCTGCTTTGGATTAACCTCAGTCTTCTTGCTCATCAGACATTAAAAGTAGCTCTAATGCAGCAGGCAATATTTAACCCAGGAGATATGAACTCCATTCTTTGTGATCAGTTACACGGTGGACTTCAATTCACATGCATGTCATTATGGAGTTTGTAGATTTTATACTTTATACTTTAGCAAGTATGAAATTTCTTTTACTTGTATACAAAAGATTTCTATTTTCATGACCATTTTGCAATGAAATGTTTTGTTTGCAATAAATTCACAAAAGTGTTTTTATTTATGTCTGCATGGTGGTATAATCCAGAGTGCTTGTGAGTATAGGACCGCCACAGGAGGCAGGGGGCAGCACAAAGGGAAGACAGTAGCCATTGAAAACTGCATCAGTTATTTCATTCCTACAGCTCTGCATGTAGGGTGCATGCTCTCCTTATTAATAACCTTCCACTGGGGCAGGTCCCCTATGCATCTGGCACAAGCCCAGAAAGGACAGAAAAAGAGTATGCTTTCAGCAACCCCTCTTCACTAAACTTACTCAACATTCCTAGAAACAAAGCAGAAAGTTTCAGAAGAAAAAAATACAGTTAAAAATGCTCAACAGGAAAGAGGGCCAGCCCCAGCTATTTCACTGCCCTGAGTAAAATTAATCTTTCTATGTCTTGCCCTGCATTCATATAGCTAGCCACCAATACTCTAGAAATGCCGCTCTTGAATTTTGCACCTGCACAGTTTGTCCATAGGCTGACTCTGCTAAGAGTATTTTAGATTCAGGTTAGGTTAGAAAGGCCTCCAACGCCAATGGAAAACATGCCAGACAGGAACAAAGGGCAGAAGAAATTAACTGGATACCAATACGGACACCAAAGATCTTATCTCTTGAGTTTAAGCCCATGAGATGTTCTTAAATCTGAGATTTTAGTGGTAAAGAAGGGAGTCACTGGCTTGGAAGACTAAATTACTTAGCTAGAAACTGGCCTCAGGGAAAACAAGTGAAACAAAAGCTACTGTGCCTCATGGCCCTACTGAAGCATAATGCTATATCTAGAAAAACTGAACTAGGGACAAACATTATCAGAACTAAGAGGTTGCCTGGAAATACTGAAGGTGGAAGCCTAGTCTGCATGTAAAAAGCTTTAATTACAGCATTCTCGAATTGGGACATTCCTGAAAGGTAAGAAGTTAAGAGTACTAGGGTGCCATTCTTTCCATTCGGGCCTCATAAGTAACAGGTCTCATGATGAAATCGTTATCAGCAGAAAGATTTAATTACAAAAAAAGCCATAGGGCATCCAGAGCTTATATTCAATTTTTTTCCCAAGACCTTTCTGCCCTAATTTTAAAAAAAGAAGACGGGTTGAGGAAATCACAGCAGCCCCCAGTGACAGGGATATCCATTTACATTTTTCAGTACTGGTAATCGGGGATCCTGGTTTTCTCCAATTAAAAAAAAAAAAATCCCCAATTTTTGGGTTTAAAAAAATCAACCCAAAATCCACAGTTTTCCATCATCAAAATGAAACACCACTATATATATATATATATATATAGAGAGAGAGAGAGAGACTGACACTGGATATATTTTTCCAACAAATTCCATGCCTGCCAAGTTGTGGAATATATAGAGCTTTGGCTGTAATACTACTGCTGTAGTTCATCTATATAGTGGTGTTTCATTTTGATATACAGATATATATGTATAGGTAGTGGTGCTTCATTTTGATCATGGAAAAATGTGGATTTTGGGTTACTTTTTTGAATCTGAAAATTGGGGATTTTTTTATCAGAGAAAACCAGGATCCCTGATGATAATGTACAATATGACTTTAAACTAGAGGAAAATGCACTCTAGTCACTTTGAGTAGAAAGCTGGATCTCAGACATACAAGTAGATACTGCAGAGATAGACACTTTTCATAAACTACTGAAAAAATCTTGGCTGGCTGGGTAATGCAATGAAGTTTGTTGAACATTGGCAATGACAGAAGTAAAGCTGAAGAAGACTCATAGATAAGAGGAATAGCCCAAAAAAACATCTTTGGAGTCATCAAGGACAAACTGTTAAACAGTACCACATTAATATTGTGAAGAAAATAGGAGGAAGTGAGGAAGTGTGTAAATGAAGTTGGCATAATTCTGATAGCTCTGTTCTATATTTTTTAAAAAGAATCGGGGAGTGGGTTGCTTGCTTGGCCCAAGAGATGGGGGGCATTGGAGAAAAGATAAGGGCTGAGGGCTATTTCTAGGGCTGAGGTGCTAAAGTCAGAGAATATAGGTAATTTGACAGACATGTTTTGCTCCTCCTGAAGGAAAGAACAAGAGGTATAAGCATATTGATTAAGCATCTATCTTTTTAGGTTAAAGATCAATCTAATGATAGGGAAGAACAAATCTTAAAAAGGACTCAGTTGCTGCATAATTAATACTGTGTAGGTTCCCAATCAAAAACAATTTTTTTTTAAAGAAAATCTTTAAAATATTGCAACACTTTGAGGAAGAAGTAATTATATTTAGTAAAGAATTGGTGTGTAGCTTAATTTTTTTTTCCAAGACAAATCTGATAACCAGAGTAGATAAGGACAGATCTAGTAAAGCAGACAATAGACAAGAAACCAGGTGCAATATTAACCTTTTCTATACCAACAATTCAGTCTTTCAGATTGCTGCAGAGAACTGTGCCCAAGGGGAGTAAAAGATCATTTACACCCTTATCATTTATCTGCTAAAATAGATTAATACTAAATCTCTACATTCATAATAATATAAAAAACACTAAAGAAACTGGCATTATTACATGCACAGATCATGACCCCCATAGAAGTAATATTTGATAGCTGGGAAGAGACCCAAAGATCACTTTTTTGGAAAGAGAATCACTTGTTTTCCAGGACAAAGTTCAGATTGCAACAATTAAAAAGAACTTTGTTCAATACTTCAAATAAATTACAAAGATAGAGAGGTCTTCTGCAATCCTTCCCAGAACACAGGGGTTAGTTGATAAGGAGAGCTGCCTTTGTGGGGGGTGGAATAGAGAGTTCAAAGAAAATTAAAAACAAAGAAAAAGGCGAAAGCTTACAGACTCATTAAAATATAGATTAAAAAAGTATAACTAATATTAAGGGAAAACTTCATATGTTGATGACAGATGCCAGTGAAAGAGCCCTTAGGTATACAAAGCAAATATTTTATGAAAAAGGAAATAAAAATAAGCTATTGGTTTTAAATATTCAAGGGATTCAAAAGCAACACATTCTTCCCTGTTTTTTTTAATGGGTGGAACAGTTGCATACCCTTATGAACTAGGTGTTATATTTGTTGCTTATAAACATACCTCCACACTTCAGACACTCCAAAGTTTTGGAATTTAATAAAAACAAATCTGGAATTAGCAGGCTTGCCTATTTGAGAAAGAAACTTTCGACAAAGAAACAACAAGATATCTTAGAGGCAACAGGAAGCATGAAATTATAGAACTTGAGGATTTAATCATTTTTCAGCTGAAATTTATAAGGTATTTAAAGAGGCATTCCCTTGAGGGGTATTTTTAATGCCATTTGTCAGGAGAGAGACTGCCACAATTTATGAAAGAACTTACTGTTACTCTCTGTAAGTGTGGAAAAGATCTTACTTTATACAGCTCTTACAGACCTACATCGCTTTTGAATCAAAGATTTTAGTAAAAATACTAGCTGACTAAATGCAGACCATGCTCTCACTTCATATAAACCAGGACTAAAAGTAGGTTAATTAAAAATAGAAGAATATTAGAGTATCTGCAGTCATTTTGTTGTCACTTTACAGAAATAAAACTTTTGTTAGAACAGAGTGGAATATTTAACAGAAAGTTCTGTCCCATTTGAAGCTGGTCCTCAGTTACATCAGTAAGAACTTCAACAAGATTGAGGCCACATTGGCATCAGCACTTAACAGGGTGCCAGACTATTACATCAAAAATCAACTATGTGCCAATTCAAATAAAACAGTCTTCTCCACCTTTGGAACTGAGACACTAGTAAGCAATTCAACCCAACCTGGAATGGAATAGCTCTCACCTACTGCTCAAATCCTATCTGCTTGGGAGTGATATTCAACCGTACACTTTCATAAGAACAACATATTAAAGAAACTAATCTAGTCCAAATGGGGGGGTGGGGGGGCGCATCCAACAATGTTATAAACTACTGCACTTGCACTTTGTTATTCAACAGCTGAATATACATGTCCAGTTTGTGAAAAATTGGCACATGCAAAGAAGTTAGACACTGCGGTAAACAAGAGTTGCAGGTGCATTACTAGATGTCTTAAACCAATTAGTGTCAATAGTCTCCATTTACTCACTGGAATTGCCCCATCAGACATCAGGAAAGCATTAGCAAGCAAAATAGAACACACCCAGGAGACTGAAGATGAGGCATCCACTATATGGCCCCATTGCATGAGACTAAAACCACAGAAAAGTTTCCTCTCTACAGTGCAGGCATTGAATGAAACACTGAGAGCTCCAGGAACACATCAGAATCAAGTGATCCAGTGGGGCCCCCGATCAAATGACTGCCATACCTAGCCTTGGGAGCACAGTGGAGCCCTCGACCCTGATGCACCTCCAAGGCTTGGGGAGCACCGATCAGATTTTTTCAATTCAGTTAAAAATAAAAAGATCCATAGAAACACCACATCCTGCTGGGCATAAGGGCTAGGGACAGACATTACACATAAACCGGTTTAAGTGATCAGAAACTGGCTTAAACCTGTAACAGAACAGATATTTAGTGCACATAAACCAGTTTGAAAATGGCTGAAATCAGTCTGAGATAAACCTGATTAATGTAGTGTCACACTTAACTGATTTGACTCAAACCAGTTTATGCAATTTCTGTCCAAGACCCCTTCCTGGTTTAAGATAAATCAGAAACCCCCAGTATCCCAGCATGCTCTCTGGGCTGGGTGGGGCTCTCTGCTCCATAGCAGGTCTGCCCCCTCCCCCCTGCTCCTTGGCTGCAGCTCCAAAGACTACAGGCTACTCACCCCCTCCCCCTCACCACTCTCTGCTAAGCAGGAATTCCCCCCTCCCCTCTGCCTTGTGGAGAGGTGTCTGTCTATTAGCTAGCAGACCACATGCTGGCTATCGTCCATGCTGAATTATCAGGTAGAATCAACAGGTAGCTGGTAATGTTCCCCCGGTGGTTTTCTTAATGGGGTGATAAACGCTGAGTTATGGGTGATGAACACTGTTATCAATTCCCTGCTGGGATAATCA